AAGGAGTAGTTATAGTTAAGCAACAGTGTGAATAGTGTTCATTAACTTCAGGAACACATTAAAAATAGGTGAGCACAGACGCAGAAAGTAGACTAGGCCTTTAGTTTTCCTCATACCATTCTGCTCTTTTGCTGGGTAAGAATTACATCAATTTTCTCCATGAAAAGGGGGACCTGTATTTCTGAGGGCATTTCATTGAGCCTGTTTTTTTTTGTTTGTTTGTTTGTTCGTTTGTTTGGCTGTTTTTAAGATGTATTAACACAACTCCTCCTACCTTGTTAAGTCATTATAGGCATGCAGAAACCATGGATGCTTTCCTTGTGTATTTCTATGTTAAATGTGGCCTTTTCCAACCTATCCTACTCGTCTCCATTCTACTGGGTCTACTAGGCTAAACAGTCTGTGAAGCACAGCACATTGCTGTATCTTCTCTGGAAGAATCCTTGCAGGCAGTGTCAGCTGTGGGTGCTGTGCCTACGCTTCAGCTCACCAATTTCATCACTTCTGTCTGCTTTTCTTTACTGAGTCTGTTGGACAAAGAAACCCCAGGACACCAACATACTGACAGTACATGATATCAATGGAATACCCTTCCAAAAACTGTGAAAGACCCCATTGTATGATTATCATTAGAAGCAGAGCATGATCAGTGTCCCAAGCACTGCGGCTGACATTAATAATAAAGTAGTGTCTTCAGTGACATATTCAAAAGGAAATAAGGAACCACACCCAGTCCCTCACCATCAGTAATGCAGAGCAGACAACAGCCAAGCAGAAGCACATCAGCCAAGTGACTTGCTCTCAGAGAGAGGCCTGCACTGCCACTTTATGGGTTACACTTTCAATAGGAGGAGACACTGAGCTTTTAATCAGTTCATTTCCCTCGTAACACGTTTATTCTTTGTAGGAAGGCAGTTAACACAGCAGCTGCATTTCAGTTCTATTAAGCAACAATGCTTTGTGCCACTATATCCCCCAATTGTTCCAATTTTCTACTAAGGAAACTGGGGCATGAAGTGAATGCAGGACACACCATGTTAGTAATAAATACAAACACTACATTACCCAAGACATGCTGTTTAGATCTGCACAGTGCCCATATTCATACTGGGTTGCACAGGCACTTTGAACAGCAGTTGGAGTTTGGTATCCTTTGACTGGAATGCTCCAGATTTCCATCTACCACTCATTTTAAGTGTTAGTAAATTTAATAAATATTATTAAAAAATCCAGGACTGCCTGGGACTGTGCTCCCGAATCACTTAAAAGGAAAACTGTACATATTGAAAAATCAATACAGCTTCATCGATAAAATTCATGATATTCTACTCTCAGAGCACTGCCCCAACTAAAATTGAGGCAAGTAAGGAATCTCCAGATTGTCAGAAACATGGGGCATGCAAAAATCATTTCTCTTCTATCTGCAGTAGAGAGCACTGGTGATATTTACATGGTGCTGAGTTCCTTGCAGGATTAAAGAACTGGGATGTGATTAGGTCCATATTCTTTTGAAACAGGCAGGCACAGGGAGAGAAAGTCATTCCAGTTAGGCAATGCAAGGCTTACACCTCACAGGGAAGAAAATAACCATCATCACATTTATACTCAGCTCATACCTTAGTGGAATCCAAATCCAAAGCTGTAATCAGGTTTTGATGTAATAAAAGAAAACCAACACCCTTTCTGCATCAGGCTTGGGGGGGGGGGAGGGTGTGTGAACGTTTTGATGGTAAAAGGGGATGACAAACAGAAACATGGACTAAAAGGAAAGAAAATCCTTCAGACTATTAACATTCTAATATGCAACTGCAGAAGAACAGCAAAGATCTTTCCTGACTTCTATGAGGTTGAGAAGCGCAAAGACGGAAGAAACAATCATCATCTACCATTCCCAGCTCACCAGCAACACAATAAATGTTGGACACATTTTGCAACACCAACCTTGCTTTTACCATAAATTGGGAAGAAAAGCTAATCTCCCTCTATCCCTTACACAGAACAGAAAATGAACAATTGTTTGCTTAAAATCAATGGTAGAATAACCACCAACAGAAAATAAATGGGAAATCTCCCACCCTTTTGTCTCAGCACTCAAAGGAAAGCCCAAATACATACACTAGGGAGAAATACTATTTGGAGAGCAGGTCAACAAGGCCTTCTCAGAGCCCTCCTCCTGAAAGGGACTTGCCCTGCTGTATTGAGTGAATTCCCTATAATGCTGGCAAAAGTTTTTAGGATAAAATATCAGCTGAGCAGCAAGAGAAACCTAAAGTTGAACCATTAAGTGGCAATCTTGGACCAAATAGGAAATAGGAAGCTTATGCCAAAGACATTGTGCAACCCTATGCAGCTTTATAGATCTCTGTGTGGAGACGTTATTGTGCTCCTCAGCTCAGCACAAAACCTGCCTCGTCTCTGCAGTGAATTTATTTATTGCTCCCACTACAAGAGCAATCACATTAGAAGAGGACATGGACATCCTTAATAGGATTTGCTGTTTGTCATTGCTGCATGCTCTTTCAAATGACTCAAGTAACTCTGTGTAATCAGGCTATGAGGCTATATAGCTGCTCCTCAGAGATCTCAGAACAATCTCAGAACAGCTGACGCACATGAAGCCTCCCAACACCTTGGAAGGAACACTGCAGTAAAAGCAAAACACACACTTCTTTCTTACAGCTCTGCTGTTATGCTAACAGAGAGAATAGACCTGCATCCAGGAGGAACAGAACTTCTGAATCCATCCAGGATTCATAATTACAGACACCCATTTCATCAGCACAACCTGTTGCCAATTTTTATTGCAAAAATAAATAAAGCAAGAGCTCTTAATGGGAGAAAAAAAAAAAAAAAAAAAGGCAGCATGAAGATTGAAGTTGCAAGACCTAGTGTTCTTGGAAAACAGTAGTATTAGTGTGTATTAGCGTCTAATAAGATTTGCATTTTGCTTTTTTTTTTTTTTTTTTAAATGAGAAACAGCAAGGAAGCTAACTACTTCCCAGTACGGACTGAACAAAGAAAATCAAATTAAACCTGGACTGATCTTTGCTTTTCCTCATGCTGTTTGGGAACACATGCAGAGTTTGGTTTCTTTAAAATAATCATTTAGGTGGTCATTTCTCCATCTTAGTCCAAAGGTTCCCAGACTAATGCTGCACTATGTTAGTCTGGTGTACTGGGTTTGTATTTCCTCTTGCTGGTCCTAGAGTTTGCATTGCACCAAGACAGCTTGTGCTACAGTTCTACAGCTTGAGATGCATCCATAAGCACCGTAAAACAAAAGTGACTTTTCCTGATCTTAAGTGAAGTTTTAACACTCAGCTAGTTACACTGAATACCATGGTTTAAAAAAAATAAATTTCACCACTGTAATGCTTTTGTAGGTTACTTTTGTCAGCACTTCAGAGATATAACTACGTTTAGCCTGTGGTGTACAGAAGTAGAGAGCAGGTTTAATGCACTAATTGCTAAGTTACTTTGGCCCCTGACAAAATTGGTGTTCAGGCTCTTTAACTGTTTCTAACCTCATCCAAATACAGTTCCTCGAAGACAGAAAGTCCTCTTTAATGTTTTCTTAGTCACTGTGAAAACCACAGAGAACCATTTCAGCACATGGTGAAAGTTTAGGAACACTGCTGCAACATACACTAAGTCAGTTGTAGTTACCTGCTTTTTTGTGTTTATGCTTATGAGGGAGGTTCCCCATCATCCACCAACTGCAGACTCGAATTTATTTTATTATTTTTTAAATTTGGCCTCAAAGGAGGTTGTAGCAGGGCGAGGGTCAGTCTCTTCTCCCAAGCAACAGGACAGGAAGAAATGGCCTCAAGTTGCACTGGAAGAAGTTTAGGGTGGATATTGGGAATAAGTTCTTTACTGAAAGGGTTGTGAGGCATTGGAACAGAATGCACATGGAAGTGAAGTCACCATGCCTGTAGGTATTCAAAAGATGTGTAGATGGGGTGGTTAGGGTCGTGGCTTAGTGGTAGAGTTGGTAATGCTAGGTTAACAGACTTGATTATCTCAGAAGTCTTTTCCAACCTAAATGATTCTATGAAATTGACACTGTCAGCTTCAAATCTACTCACAGTGTGTGTGTGCAACTTTTTTTTTTTTTAAATGAGTCCTAGAAATAAGAGATTTTAGAAGACTGATTGCAGTGGCTTGTATATTGCCAAATATGGCTGGAGGATGGTAAGGAGAAGCAAAATGGACACAAGACGAGATGCAAACAAGTTTTGCAGAAATTTGAAAATGCCACAAACTGTGGTCATAGCAGGTAACCTCAAAGTTGCATGGCAGAGAATAAGAGACGGAATCAATTTTGATGCAGTGTTGTGTTAACTGAAGTGGTAGCCTACAATTAGGTTTTCCTACAGGAGAGACTGCACACTTGTTACTGACACTAGCTATTGGAAGACAGTATTTTCCAGAGCAATTCATATCTACTGGCATGATTGCCTGGAAAACATGACTAGCTCAATGGAATTGTCCTCCCCTTTTAAAGTTGAACCCTTAAGTTAATGGGAGTGGAGGAGTGGGGATGGTACAGAGCTGGAATTGAAGTTAAATTAAAAAGAAAACTCAAGGTAAAGAAGCCTCATTTAAACTTTAAAATATACCTGCACAGCACTGTCTACTTCTATACCTATAAAGAGACTTCCAGCTAAAGTTCACAATCCCTTAGTACTCAGCAGTTTTGCATGAACGGCCCTTAAATTCAATTTAATTCCCTTAACTAAATGAAAAAAACTCAGCAGAAAAAATCCACACAACAGACGTAAGGAAAAACGTATATTGAGCACTATAAGTAAGTCCTGATGTATATGGATTTTGAGGTTATTTGTTAATGAGGAATGTTTGGCTATTCAGTATCAGAAAAACTGTTCCAACCAAATTAACCCAATACCAAGCATCTTTACCAGGAATTACAATGAAAAACCTGTCAGCTTCCTTACTGGAGGATACCAAGACCCATTTACAGAAGCATTCTGCACAAATAAAGGGTTTTTAAGTGCTTTATTTGTCCATTTGGAATGATTAGTATTTATAATCAACAACATAAATCTACCCCTCAATGAAAGACCTGACAGCTTGTTATTACCAAGCATATTACAGCCTGCTGAAGGGTGAAGAATTACAGACATAAGGATGAATAACATTATATCACCATTAAATCACTTACTCTGTTCATAACAGTTTAATTCTCTAACATTAATAAATTAGGATTAGAAAAAATAATCAACATTTCCAGTGACAAAATACACTGTGTTTAGTACACAAAATAACAACAGTAGTTTATTACACTAGTGCATTAAAAGGTACTAAAAAATGGACAACTCCTTTGGAATAACTTCTTCGTTGCTAATCTTACACAAACATTGCCTGCAGCCCACACAAGATTTTCCTATTAGGGAAATCTATCACAAGTAAAATAAGTTTATTCTACTAACTTTTTCTCCTGTATTCGTTATTATTTGAATATAAGGACCTAAAATTAGATTCCTTCACGTCTGGAGTTCCCAGTGACATCCCCTCTTAAATCAAGCAAGTAATGAGCAGATTTGCATCCACACTTCAACCACCAGAATGAAACTAAAGTAGAAAATAGTTTTTTGTTTTTCAACCCATTTAAAGAAACAATATTTGGAAGCCTTCTACAAGAATTTCAAACTTCAGTGCTTTACACCATTGTTCAAGGTTACTTGCACATATGAAATTTGCGCTTATGAATGATTCATAACCAGCTGTATAATTCTTACAAAACTAAAAAATTTCATCTCCACTTACTAGAGATGAAATTGGGGCCCCTTCCTTCTCCAAAACCTGACTTGGAAGAAAAACTTTAAAAAAAAATTTCTAGTAATAATTTCTATTGCATTAACTATCTTAGGTGACAGCTTTGAAGACCAAAGTCAATGCTTACCAGAAACACCCTTCAAAATAGAGTGGATCCAAGTAACATTCGGCAAAAATTGAAGTATATTGCAAATCTGTTTCTCAAAAGAATCTCCAAGATTCTCAAAGATACTGCCTGCTAGAGATAGCCTTATTCAGATACAAGTGGCCTATCATGTTTGCAGAAGTACTTGCTTGCCAATTGAATAAGATGTGAATGTGAAAAGCAGACACAGGAGGCATGTTTTGTTATGGCAACAGAGATTTTCATGCTAAATAATGAACAGAAAACTTCACAAGCCAGCTGATGAAAATCCCATTCACTAGCTCATTATAGTCACAATGATTTTTTTTCCTGTAGCACAGTAACTTGGAAAAAAATGTGAAATATCAGAGAGTCCCTCCTTTCAGACTGCATTTCTGATCCTTCAGAATCTTACTCCGATGCATAGAAGTTTAAAAACAGACACTTGTGTCAACACCAGTGCCTGACACACTAGGCAATTCTGTCTGCATCTACCTGCTGTCACTTACCTTATGAACAGGTTGCAAAGTCTTATGTACAAGGATGTTTTTTTTCCCCGTTTCCTTTAATGCAAGTACATGATAGTATCCATACCTCCTCTGTGCTAGAATAATATAATAAACTCCATGACATATTGTTATACTTGAATTATTTTATGCTCTAAGCTTTAGATCATCACAAATGAGAGATGGATGCCAAAGCTTCTACGAACAAAAAGACGTTTTTCGATATATGACCTGACATGGAATGCCAGCATCCAGGACTCTGGATTTTTATTCTTTGCAGCAGGCAAACAAAAACACAAAACTTTCAATAATGAACTGCAAATTACAGTATCTTCTAATCTATTTCAATCCTTTCATTGAACAAAGGAGGTAGTTGATAAATAAGACATATCCTGCATTGCCTGTTCAGTTTGTATGGCACATTTCCATTCCACTGAAAACACAATATATTTTAAGGCTGGCAGTGTAAGTTGGAAGAAGTAATAAAATACATTTGGAGTATTTATTGTAATGTCTAGCCTCAGACTGTAGTAGAAACACAGGCAAAGCATCTTTTTTCTTAACACAGAAAATTACATTCTTCATCTAAATGAAATCTGAAAATGATAAACCTACAACAGTATGGGGCCACTGGCATTTAATTCTTCAAGAGTGAAAGGAATGGACACAATCATGTTAGTGTTAAAAATGCAGCTTGAAAAGCCTTTATCATATATGAACTTCCAAAGTTATCTTAAAATGAGCTGGAAAGTTAAGATCTTATTATTCAAAGGATTTAAATCCACAAAGTTGTTTTCATTGTTACCTTGAACCAAAGTTCACCCCCAGAAATCTAAGAGCAAAAATCCCATAGCAACCAGGGGATAAAGTTAGTCATGTTTATAACTAGTCAAGTAAACTTTTAACAAAAAATAGGATGAGGATTCAGGTTCTTTTCCATCAGATCAATCACAGTGTTGTCCCCAAAGTTTAATCTGTCTCTTCTTCAAAGAAAGATGAGAACTGCATTCTCCAAATGCAAAAGCCAGCTCAGCTAGCTTCAACATGAAAGTTGTCAAACTGAGCAAACTCAAATGAGCGAGTTCCAATAGCAGCCCATCCGTTACTTGGTTTAGAAATGGTGACATTCTCCCAGAGTGGATAACCATTTAACAGCCCTGAGGCAGAAGCGCCCTGTCAGAAAACAGAAAGAAAGTTAGCTTTGTAAAAATCCAGCAATCAAATGTGTTGACACTGAGACAGCCTGTAAGGAAGATGAGACAAGCCTGAAAGGTGTCAGGTGAACTCTCAACTCTGTTTCACACATTTTCCACGCGGAGGTACTTCTAAATAATCACACAGAACCATACAGTGCTTATCAGCTCTGTGAGACACATCTAATGCCTTTACAGTTCATATATAGAAGGTTCATCTTTCCCCAACTCGCAGCTTGCAAACTCACTGCAGAATCTCAAAGGTACACTGGTTTTCTTCTTGTGTTGGTGTCATATTCCCTTAAAACAGCCAGCTGTTTTGAGGGGCTTAGCAAAGCTAGAGCTACCTGGAACTACAAAGCAGTTCTTTTGTGGATATAATACACCTGGCATTGACTCTGCACAATTAGGCAAAAAGTCAAAAGAAGAAAAGAATGATGCATTTTAGTCATTAAGTTTAAAGGAGGGAATTAGAGAACTTTCAAGTATAATGTTACCATTAAAATTAAGAACAGTTTCAGTAAAAGTTAAATTTTAACTTGCCAATATGCTCCACTAACTTGTAGTTAGAAAAAAGAAAAGCATTCTATTTTACCTGTATTTCTTAATCTGAGGGATAATTACAGACACAGGTAAAACCAAAGAATACTTTCTAAAAAGCAATATGAGAGCTCTCACACGATCAGTATGAGGCCTCTACAATTCTGTTATTGCCTCAAAGGCATGTTTAGTACAAAATATTTTAACAGTGCAGATGGAAGTCTGTAGCATCGTAATTTTAAGATTAACAAATGTCATTGTTTTGTGCTTTAAATAGTTTACTCTCATCTTTAGTACCACATTCAGGTTAGTAAGCACCTTAGTCCATTTTACAGATAGCAGTCACTGTCATAAATGTGGGTGTACAAAAACAAAACTAAATTACTTCTATTTCAATGAATGTCTCAGATAAGAGCATCCCTTTGTCTCCTAGTACAAAAGAATAAAAGGAAAAAAAAAGCTTCTAACACTCACTGACATTTTAGCATGAGAGAAAGACTTAACACTGAATTTCAAAGACAGTTTGTTTCTGTACAAGATATCCTCAACTAGGATTTACGCTTCCTCATTATTTCAGGCCACATGCAGTTGTGAAAGTTATATTAGGCAAGGGAATTAGGCAGCAGAGGAGCTTAGAGCCTTTGAGTTACTTGCACCAACGTCAATTCCAGCTAATTGCACAGGTATATTTTAAATAAAGTTTGATATCAGTTTTCTCACCAAGCAACTATGGTCCAAAAAGGTAAACACACACAACAAAAAAAAAAACAAAACATATTTTAGACATGCTTCTAATCAACTGCAGACAATTTTTACTGCAAAATACCCATGCTTCCTCAGTACAGGAAAGAAGAATAGCTGCTCAACCAAGTTCCCCAGTTCCAAGCCCTTAGGAGGCACCACCTATGAGGACTTGGCACTCAAAGAGAATTGATGGGAATCAGATTCATAAAGCAGACTAGTTTAGTAGAGTCTTCAGAACAGGAAGTCAGGTCATGATCCTTTCATTAGATTAAGCAAAATATTTGCCTCTAGCCATCCTATCACCAGCTTTCAACTCATGATTCTGGTTCTCTTCTATACCCTCTCCAGTTTCTCAAGACCTCTCTAAAAATACAGGCAACAGAACGAAGTATACTATTTCAACATTGGTTTAAAGTAACAAATAGAGATATTGTTGTTGTTTTATATAGGTAATCTAATGCAAACAGTCTCTCAGCAGAGGAGCATAGTTTTGTCTGAGCCATTTAGTATTGGAATTTTCATAGCTGATTTTCTAGCTTTTTAGCCCATGTCCTTACCTGGATGTTGAGTGTAAGTGTGTGCCATGCATTGGCCCGGACACCAGAAAGTCCCTTCATTAATACTTCTTCTCCAGCTGTAAAAACATGCTTAAGGTTAACAAAGTGCTATTTCACCCTTTTGCCATTTTGTCAGATAAATACCAAACTAGCAAAAAAGAAAATCTCATTTTCAGACATGTTCAGGACCAAAAATCTAAAAGTTTCATTTGCAGCATGGAGGGCTTAATATATAACCTAGACTCTGTACTGTCTGTGCATTCCCCCATTTTGACAAGACCTTTTCTCTACTGAAACCTCCAATGCTATTTGGCCTGAAATACAGACTCCCTCTACTCAGAATACAGGTTGAAGAAATATGAGAGTAATTATTGCTCTGTTTGTTCTACAGATCTCCTTGTTTACATATTAGAACTTTATAAATTCAGAGGATTTGAGATGCCACATCATATTGCTGAGTTCTAGGCCAAAATTTAAACTAAGAAGAAATCAGGCATGATTGACACCTGGTTAAGAGACCTTAGAGAAAAAACAAACCTAAGCATTAGAAGTAGAATCTTCAATTATTCAACAGACAGTTTTAGCTGCAAGTTAATTTAATATTCAGGCTCCCTTCCAGAAAAATATAAAAATCACTGAAAATAGATGTGGAGAAAAAGTTATATGGCCTAATAAGTGTCCCCATCTGAAATAATTAGGTCATTAATTAAAATCCCCTCAACTAGGAAAAACTATTCTTTAAGTAATGCTGATATATCTTACCAATAGAATGGACCACAGTCCATTCTAAACACAAGCATGTTTTTACACAGAGATAAACTTAAGTTGTGCAGTTACACATTGCGAAGTTTCCCTAAGGAACAACAATGTGTTAAGAGGCTATCTTCGCATGAGATGTACTGTAGATTTACTGTAGATTTAGAAGTTGCATTTGAGTCAGAAACTATTTCTTCCTAGGTGTAGCAGAAGAACACAAAACAAACCTTTCTGTATCACTGAATCAGAGTATTTATGAAAAGCAAAATAATTTGCATTTGCTATTATAAAATAGCTTTCTGACTATCTTCTGCTGATGAAACCTGAGAACAAGAAATGGAACGCCTATTCATGTTCAGATGCTCTTGCTTGCATAAGAAATATGACCATCATTACAGCATAGTGGGTCAAGTGATGGCAGATGAGTAACAAAAACTGAATGATTACCTTAATAAAAACATTAAGCACAGTCGATGTTCATACATCAGCATCTGCTTTTACTAAATGGCTGCTTACCTAAGTCACCAGTGACTCTGTAGGTGCCATCTGCATAAACCCAGAAGAAAACTCCTTTCGTACGACGAACATATATCCCACCATTGTCAACTCTTCCAGCAATAAACACACCCCCATCATCTTGCTTTTCTATGTAGATGTCACAAGTGACTGTCAGGTTCACCCTGTAAGAGCAGTTAAGTGTGTGTTTTTTTTTAACGAGAAAAAAAATGGATTTTTTTGAGCAGGCAGTAGATAGAGTACTCCCTACATAGCACAGCAACATTCTTAAGAAGAGATTTAGGCATCCTAATTGGGACCTATGGGTGTGACAGACACAGATTCATCTTCACTGATGACTTGTCAGGACTGGTTGTTTCCACCTGTGAGTTCACAAAGTTTCTCGGTATGAATATTTCTAATAGACCAACAACAAACATAAGTGTATTGCCAACATGTTAAAATCTGTTACACAAAAGGTTTGTGTTGTCCACAGTAATGCTTTCGGGCTTACAAAAATAGAAGTTGCTTTTAGATACCAATCAAACCCAAGTTTCAAGGCAATACTACCACATTCTGTTAGAATTTTAACTTAATTTCTCTAACATTTTTAACATATAGGCCAGGTCTTAGGAAACCCAGACCTCTTGCTCAACATGCAGAACAATTTTTTTTAAAACAAAGTTCAGATAGATTGAAATTACTTGATTTTTTTCCTGATCCAATACTTCATCTAAACTGTAAAGCATCAGGTTTTACATGTAATGACAGCTGCAAAGGAAAAAAAAATCTACCATTAAGCAAAGGAATACTGGAACAATCAAATAGCACTTGGAACATTTATCCAAGTTGCAGCACTAGCTTCGTAGAAGTAAAAAATTATGTCTATTGATGAACATTCAGCAAGTTACATTTCTACATCCCATATCTGAATCAACTTCCAGTAAACTATTGTGAATATAGATACAGCTACAAAGTCATATATTTAGGAAGCTTCCAATTATTCAGTTATTAATTTACTAAACATAGAAAAACACTCAGTGTCCTCAGCTCAGCTGACAGAAATCATTAAGGATACCTATTTCAGGAAGTCATCTTCTCAGATCTTACATAAAAGAAAAGTCTCATATTTCATTCTAATACAATGTTATTAAAAGTATCAGGTTCTTGGATAGATGTTCATTACACAAACTGTGTGAGATTTCTTTCTTGCCTCCCTATGTATTAAAGGAAAGACTCCCACATCCTGCTCAAGATATTATAATACTGGAATCAGTGAGAGTTAAATAGTAATATTTATAGGATATAGCTAGGCTCAGCATAACAAGAGCAAAACTTAAATTTAGGAGTAGAAATACAGAACTTTCACAAGCACAAGATTAAAATCCAAAGTAAAACTAAAGAATCCTCAACTTTAATCATAATAAACTGCTATTGATGACTGAAGTCAAATATCTTCCCATAGAGAAATTCAGAGCAAGATTAGTTCAATATTTATTTTTATAGTGTACAATAATGGTTGAAAATATCTACCCAGGCCTAAACTGGAGACAAAGCAAGCAAATCAAAGGGCCTGAAATTGAAGATTTTCATTACAAAACATTACAGGTGTGTAAAATTTCAATAACCTGGTGAGTATTCAAGAAGCAAGTTTGTTTTGAAAATAAGATAAAAACTCAAAGAAGTGGAACCAAAATGAAAAAAATCGGAAGATTCCTAGGGATTTCAGTATAGTAATTTAAGAGTACATTTTATGTACCAGTTACAAGGATCACTAAATATGACCTACTCAATGAGGGGGAGCTGATTATAAGGGGAATACAAGGCTTTACTTAACAAAAGGCTGCAGAAAGTAAACGAAAAATCTCCAGCTACAAGATAGTGGTATGTTTTCAGGCTTCAGAGCAAAGTGATTCGATCACTTGTCACAGTCAGAAGTAAGTTTGATATATGTTATGAAAAAGCATTTGGTTGAACACTGATCTGATCACAGTGAAAGAATAGACAGAATGGCTATTTTAAAAAACATACCAAAAATTTAAGCTAGACTCTTCCAAATTAAACAAAAAAATCTTAAGCATTAAGTTTATCATTAGTACTAAGCTAATTATCTAATAGGCTCTTTCCCAAATACTTTTTAATTTTAATTAACGTTATGCTAAAATATGCTGTTCCATTACAAATTACTGCCATCATAGCTCCTAGAAAGAACTGTAATCATAATCATACTCTTATGAGACTGGTAAATCTCAGTTGCATCTACCCAGAAACAAAACCGTTTTAAGCAGAAGGTGAATCAAATCCACACAATTCTAGGAACTGCTCAGAAGATGGCAGTCTACAACAATAAAAAACCGCACCAACTCCTGAATTATCTCACTGATATGAAATTGATCAAGTCACTAACAATCAAGCAGCACAGTATAAGATTAAGTAATTTACACTGAATTTTTTTTGTCCTATTTGAAAAACATACAAAAAGTAGTGCTCACTTCAAAATTAGCATTCTGCTTGTGTGATACTGATATTTTGAGTTGGTCTTCCCATGTCCGTTTTTCTCAAATAACAGCATGAACAAGTATGTCCAGCATGAGTTTAGGAAAAATTTTCTCTAATATAGTGGAGCACTGGGCCATATTACTTAGAGATGAGGTGGAATATCCAACCTTGGATGTTTTCAGGACTCTTTTAGACAAAGATAAAGTTGACCTGAACTATTAGCATTGGCAAGAGATCCAAGAAGGGTTCAATGACTTAAGAAAGTCTGTCAATCATCATTTCTACACATCTACAGATAGCCTGAATGCACAGACTTGCTGTGCAAGAGAAATTAAGTTTGAAATAGATCGATTAATCATAACCCACACTGGTAAGGATGACATTTCCCCAGATATCACCAAAAATATTGTTTACATACCAATGAAAATTTCCTATGATACTGATGGTCTGGTCTGCATCAGAAACCCAAGTGATGGGTCGCTGAACTACCACCTGTCGGAGTGTGAAAACATGATCTCCTGGGTCAGAACCATTTATGAAGTACTCAAATACACCTGTCTGATCTGCAAAATTTGGAGCTTCGCTGAAAGGTGGATTACCTGTTCAGAGAATAAAATGCATATGAAAACCAAAACATTATTTTTATTCTGTCTACTCACTCTTGCTTTCAGAAGTTTCCTCTGAAGATATTCTCCAGACTTCTTACTCTATCAAAGTACAGACTCCAAAAACTGAAGTTTTGGAAGTAGGCCAGTTTTCATAATCACATGAACAAAGTAAATTACCTTCTATCTTTCTTCACAAAAACTAGTTCAGTATATTTGAGCTGTATCTTTTGCATCAAAGAACTATAGCAGCCACCCAATTAAGAGCTAGAATTAAATATATTTCCTTACATGTGAGGTATACACCTGTAAGTTAACAGAGAAACTGGAATAAATAAGCAAAAACAAAACACAATTACTTCATACCTCCCAGACCAGAGGACTCAAATACCACAGTTATGGCCTTTCTACATTGAGACTATATCTGTGTGTAAATGAAGTTTTTCAACAGAGAATTCTGACTTACGAATATTGAAATCATCTTTGTAATTTGAAGGAAAGGGCTGAGGTGGGGGAGGCTCTGGACAACTACATTTCCGCCCTGTCTTGAGTGTGGTTAAAGTATAGACTTCATCCACGTCTAGGTCTATAGAAAAGCTTCCCCTCCAGACCTGGAATTAAATAAAGCTCAAGCTGCAAAAAATCAAAACTAAATTACAAAATACCCAAGTTTCTGAGTTAAAGGATATTCTATAAAGGCTGATTTGAGGCAAAAATCTTATCTTCTTGCCTCGGTGTTTAATATCTCCAAATTATTTTTGAAAACTACTTCCCCCAAACTCCTCATTACCTCGAAGTAAGTTTGACTATAGCTTTACTAGCTGTATACAAACAGAGCTTAATTATACAGTTCAGGCATCAAAGGCAAGAAGTTTCAGCAACAGGGAAAAACACCAGGAGTTACAGAGAGACTGCTGGGAACATCCTGTTGTGGGTAGTACTTAAGTCGTATTAGGCACAGTGCTCTGTTTCTGAGAAAAGTTACTTTAACATTAACCAGTTTGAGGAAGTACTTTTTTAAAAAAAATTGTTTGTGATGTACGTCCCAAATACTCACATTCTTAATGCTTTGAGTAGTACAAAAAGTTATCCCAACAGAAGCTCTTTTCTCAAAAAAATTTCTGCTAAATACACCCAGTGAACACACATATCCCAAAAGTTTGACAATGAATATGGGCAGAGAAGCCAAGAAATTAGAACGTTATCACCTTCAGGCCAGAGAAATATTACAACTACCACCTTGCAAATCTTTCTACAGCAGGAACTCCAGTGCTGAAATATCTGGAATAACGCTAACACCCAGTGCATGAGCATGAATAAAGTTAGGTTTAACAAATGACACTCGGTTCCACTATACTGACATTTTATTGCATTTCAAAACCACTGGCTGAAAATTCAATAAGGTAGTCCAGAAAATGGAAAAGGACATCCACATGCATCACTATCACAATGGGATCACTTAATTTCATTACTTTCAAAGTATATATCTATGAGAAAGCAGTAATGTTTCAGCCCTACAAAACAAACTGCATCACCAGCCTACTCAGCAATTATCTTTATGAACACACACTGAATACCATCAAGCTTCTCTCTGAAGAGCCAAGTGCAAGTTACCTTAGATTGCCTTATGTGATTCTTTTTACTTCATAATCCTACATTGCAAAACAAAGAAAAGCATCTTTTTTGCACTTCCATTTCTTAAACGTAATAATACAAAAGATTAATAAAACTAATTAACTTACATCTAAAGGTTGGAGTTGCTTGAATAAAATAGAGTTCGCAGATTCAAAATCAAGTCTTGAATACCACACTTGAAGGGTTTCCACCAAATACTACAATGAAATGTAACAAAATTAAAAAAAAAAACACCACACAACTCCAATATTGACCTCAAGAAACATCAATCCTTTATGGGTGTATAACTTCTGTTACTTTAGAGCTGTTGATCTCATTAGCAGTCACCCCTCTATTCTGCTGGCCATAACATACTTTATATTTTTGTAGATTTTATGTTGATAAACCAACATTATACAGTCAGCTGCAGTTATTTTCCTGGAAAGGAACTGATGACAACTAGAAAGGTCATGAGATAATGACCATGCTAGCCAGGCAACCTATATCAGAAGCTCAAAGCACTCAGTCTTGAAATAAATCCTAAAGAAAAATCCAACTGGGTATCTATTCCCGGGAATTTTTTCTTCAATATATGTATTATTAGACCAGGAGGGTAGTAACTGTACAAATTCAGTTATGATATTACATGTTATGGTGAAAGCAGAAGTAGAATGTTTAAGACTTCGGCAGGTATATAACAGCCTATAGTAATGGAGGTCAAGAATTTTGATCTCTTGCTACCCTACTATATTACTTTGTGTGCCTTTATCTCTCAATAGCTATTCGCCTTGCAAGAGTAATCAAAGGTTACAACAAAGGTTATTCAACATCTACTTACAAAAGACCCTTTGAGGTAGAAAGTTGCTCTCTGAGGTGACACATTGAAATGAGGCAGTGGAGGCCTGATACATTGAGAGTGATTATGAGTCTGAAGAAAAAAGTAACAGAAGGATCATACATTACTAGAATGCATCATATGCCAATACTCATGAAAAACAGGATAGATTTAAATTAGAAAAAACAACAGGATCAACTTGCAACTATTTATTTCATTAACTTAATGATGATTGTTATTATACAAACTTAATTTTACTGGGAATACTGCTTTAAGAAAAGTATACAGATTTAATTTTCTCCCACGGTATGTTATGAAATTAAGGCTAATTTGTGATATAAAAGTTATATACAAAGTTTAAATAGAAAAAAGAGATTTGTAGCAGTCTGTCTAACAAAGCTATCATATAACACAATCACAGATATTAAGCTACGTAAAACCAAACAGGCTCTTTTTAATAAAATGTTCCCTTTGTCTACCCTACTTTGTTGGAATTGCTGATGCACATTACCATAGTTTCAATTATGATGGTAAGGTTTCCTAGGCCATCTGTCAGAGCTACAAAACTACCACCTCCTTCCAAGTGTCCGTCAACTTGCAAGTATGACCAGCCTGGTTGAGTAAATTGTGTTGTGTGTGCTAAGACAAAACAGAACAAAAATCAGAACAATTAGATCTTAATAAAATGTAACATCTGTTTCTAATCTGAATTAAATTTCTTGCACAAGAAAAAGGTGATTTGGGGAAGAAAGTAATAGAATTTCAAAAAAAATTCTACCCATACAAGAAAATTAAGAAATTGTACTAAAATACAATTAAAAACATCAGCTCTATGACAGATAAAGCAGTTAAAACAAAATGTTAGCAATTATTTTAAAAAGGAGAAAAAAAATCTTATCATAGAATGGTTTGGGTTGGAAGGGGCCTTAAAGATCATCTAATTCCAACCTTCTGCCATGGGCAGGGACACCTCCCATTAGACCAGGTTGCCCAAAGCCCCATCCAACCCGGCCTTGATTGCTTCCAGGAATAGGGTATCCACTTCTCTGGGCAACCTGTTCTGGTGCCTCACCAACCTCTGAATAAAGAGTTTCTTCCTAGTATCTAATCTAAATCTACCCGTTTAGTTTAAAACCATTACCACTTGCCCTATCACTACACTCCCAGACAAAAAGCCCCTCCCCAGCTCTCCCGTTACGTAGCCTCTTTTATGTACTATAAGGTCACCCCGGAGCCTTCTCTTCTCCAGGCTGGACAACCCCAACTCTCTCAGTCTTTCTTTACAGGAGAGGTGCTCCAGCCCCTTGATCATCCTTATGGCCCTCCTCTGGCCTCATTCTAATACTTCCACATCCTTCTTGTGCTGTGAGCCCCAGAGCTGAACACAGTACTCCAGGTGGGGTCTCATGAGAGCAGAGCAGAGTAGGAGAATCACTTCCCTCGCCCTGCTGGCTGTGCTGCTTTTGATGCAGCCCAGTATACAGCTGGTTTTCAGGGCTGCAAGCGCACATTACTGGGTCATGTTGAGCTTCTCATCAACACCCACTATATGCCACTAAATAAATCAATCATCTATATGTAATATGAATATTCACCACAGTTTATATTTTCCCCCCATCTCTGTTTAAAAAAAAATAAAATCAGTAAACAGTTAAGCCAGGGAAAGTATACATGGGCATCTCCTTGAGGAATAACTACATTGGGCAGAATTTTCAGCATGCAAGGCAGTACCAAAGACGTATGACCTAGATCATGAAAATCCAGACAACATGGAAACAGGAACAGCTGCTCAGCTGTTCTGAACTGTTCATATGACAGTATAGCCATTTTTTCTAACATTTTTACATATACTCATAACTAGCAAAAGAATAGAAATTAAAGCATTTGTCTTGATCCTTCTTCACAGCATTGTATATGCCACTAGCTTTCTGGAACTGTGGCAAAGGCAGCAAAAGATTACAGCAGGACTACACAGTAACCAGTGAATCATGCTTTCGTAAGACAAAGCACAGAAGTATTCCCCTTTCCCAGTGCACAAGAAAATACTGAGTTTAACAGATCAAGAAACTCAGGCAGTACAAGAATACAGAAGTTCTTTGCTCTATTTTCTCAAATTGTAAGGTAATAAATCAAATGTCTACTTAAGGATGAAAAAAGAGTGAAAAAGAATAGGAAAGTACACTAGTACAGTACAGGCACACTAACCCTTACAGGCAATTCAGATCAAACAATTTTAATAGCGATAAGAGGCAGTAGCTTATATATTTCTGCATGATCAAGTCAAACATTAAGATTTCCCTTGCTATTAAGATCACTGGTTTCTCTTGAAAGAAGCTTTTTTTCTTTAATGTTGGATTAATTTGGTGCAAAAAAAAAAAAAGCACATAGAAAAAAATAAACAAATAAAGGCTTCATACAATACAGTTACACAAGCCTTTCACCTGTAATCCAGATAGGTGCTTCTACTTTGTAATGGCCACTCCATGGCTCTTGTGCTGTCATTAATCCACATCGACCAAAGGGCAAGTCTTCATAATAGCTAGCAACTAAATTCCACGCAATGGTTCTGGAAAAATAGGTTTGTTTTGTTTACTCATATGGATTGTATTAGATTAAATTAGTACAACAATTTATTCCTTTTTTCCCTCCAGTACAGATTCAAAAAACTTCACATCCCAGCCAAAAAATAAAGTAGAAGTTTCCCAGGCAAAAAAAAAAAAAATATATATATATATATATATATATTTATGTATCTTTACAGCAAAAGGAGAGGGAGAAAGAAAAAAACACTACAACAACCCCACAGGAAAGGAAAATAAGTCATCATCCAGAGTTGAAAACTTCATACTAAACCACTGATCCATTTCCTATCTCTGTCACCATAAAAAGACGCACAGTAAAAGAAATGTGCACCTGAGACTCCATACTTGCTAACCACATCAGCTGAGAGAAAATTCAAAATTAAAAAATGAAGTTGTCACAGTTTACAATTTTATTAGCTTTTTTGGTTGTCTGGTTGTTGTTTGTGATGGTGGTGTTTTGATGGTTTGGGGTTTGTTTCTTTAAGCCCTAATAAGAAGTATAATCCCCCTTTTATCCACATAAATAAAGGACAGTAACTCTAGTTAGTAACTCTAACCAGCCATCACCCAGGATTTACTTTAAGAAATTGTCAGGACATTGACTAGGTTAATTTTCTTCACATCTTCTGATTTGTGAGTATCAGTGAGTATCTGTTGCTATGACCTTAAGACCTGTGCAGCCATAGGCATGCAGATACAATTTAATAAAAGAGTTACAGAGAACACAGAAGCTGTTACGTGATTTTGCTTTTATATAAATGAGTGCATAGAGCTCATATTCTAAACTCATCGCCTTAGATGTATCACATGATATACGCATTTCAGGATAGATACTGAAGTCCTCCAAAAACACACTCTTAAAATACAGAACTCAAGATGTAAACTTAGCTTCCTCATGGTAAAATTTTGCATAAGATGCAGCACAAGGCAACAAGAATGTAGGGAACTCAAGCTCAGAGGAAATGAGCAACAAAAAGATTAGCCTCTCTTCGTCAGGAAGGCTCAATATAAAAGCCAAGATAATTGAAGTATTGATTATATGGATTTGGAACTGTTCTATAATTTCTGAATAATTTCTGGCTGCTACATTGCAAAACAAATGGGGCTTATATAATCTCAAAGAGCTTGGAAAAAGAAGAAAATGCAACAGGAAAAGACTTATCCCTCAATGAAATACTAAAGAACATGAGAATCAAGAGACAAGTCAGGAATTCACAGAGGAAATAGTTACGTGGTAGAAATTTTCAGCTCTCAGAGGGAAACAAGATTCACAGAAGACAGTCAACTCAATAGGTTTCTCTTTAGAAGCACGCAAGTGATTTCTGCTGTGCTCCATTTCAAGCATTTCAGAAAAAACATTTCTCTTTATTAATCCAAAAATAAGTTACATAAAAGCTAAAAGTTTTGAAGTGATTTTGCTTAGATCCTGATGTCTCCATTTTCTTTAATCAGACTTTTTTTTTTAAATATTAGTATTTGTTTCACTGGAAAAAAATATTTTTCCCATTCTGTTTTAAAATTGACTTACATGATTACCCGCTAAGCAGAACAATAATTTTCTTACAAATTTCAGTTTGGCATTAAGATGTACAGAACAAAAAAAATATCAAAAGACCACAGCAAGTTTTAGAATGGTTTCTCAGAAAGTAGTTGTACGGAAAAAAAAATGTAATAAAATACTTTCCTACTACTTTTAAATGAAGACAAACCCTAAGAAGCATGCAGCTAGATTAGCTTTATTATGTTATTTTCCTCCTGTGTTTTTCAGGTTGTTAGTTCTTAAGAACATTCTGTTTTTAAGAACTATCACCAGCATCTCAAAAACAGATGAACTCCACTGCATAAACCAATGGATACACATGGAACTGTGATGACTAAGAATGCATTAAAATTTCTGGGACTTCTAACCCAGAGAGAGGTTAAGACAGTAGACTTCACACCTTCGTATATTTGAACTGGGACTGACAGAAGAGAAAATTTCAGTTTACCTACTCCCTTAACATAGCAGGTAGATGTGTTATATGGTACTTTAGACAATTCTTACATATGAAGTTCCAAAAGCTAGCAACAGCGTACAACACTTACGAGGTCATGTTTCCATTCACATAGTTTTGGTTTAGGATCCGAGCCCAACAGCCTGCACCTACTTCATCGTTGAAAGTACTATAATCTTCTGAAGACCACAGTTTTTTCTGCGTTAATAAGGCATTTGGCACTGTTTTTGTTCCAGGATAGTGAGCCCTATACAGTGTTTTAAAAAGAAAGAGCACTTATCAGAAAAAGCAAAATCAAAGCCTGGAAGTACAAACATCAGCAATAATTCCCCTCTTCCGAACTTAAATTGAAAAACAAACTCTCTTTGGAATAATATTAATGGAATAAAAAACTTGGAACAAGAGAGATTTGTAATACATCTTATCATATTTGCATCAGTACAAAACTACTCCTTTAAAACATTACCTTCATAAGTAAGCCTAACTTAAAATACATCGTGTAATGTCTGCAGCTAGCTAAAGCAAAGCTTTATCCTGAAATTAAGCTTGATAACTTGTATGAGTACTTGCATTACGCTAAGAGAAATACACGCTTTGTACTACATTAGACAAAACTTTAATTATAAACCAACAGCAAGATACAGTACTAGGCATTATTCTAAAAACTTAATGGCATTAATGTCTTAATGCACCTGAACATGAACTTAGCTCATTCTTTTCAACAAATTCAGCTTTCAAACAGGCGGTGTGGACTATAAGAGCTAAAGAGGCGTAAACTGAAAATAACTGAAACATGATCAAAGCTAGTTTTCTTGGCAAAGCCTTTCTTAGAGTACATATACTTTCTCCCAAATAAAGACTACTGATCACATTCAATTGCAGCATTTCAATATGGCAAATTAGCCTAGCTGAAATAAAACATTGCAGAAATCAAGATCATTCCCCTCAGTTAGGACACACATTGAACACACTAAATGCATATACTAAAATGAACTATCAGCACTGGAAAGGAAAGCATAAAGATGTCCTTTACTACTAGGCTGAAACTTGACAAGTTTATCAATTTGTGGGTCAGGAACAATAATATTTTTTCTGTATTGATTGTTGGTTTCAAGTATTTTCTCCCTATTGGACAATTGGCCATTTCCCATTGTTGTAGTCTTTCACACCTTGCTTCACTAATGGTAACATAAGACACAGTAAAGATTTTAACTACATCCTTGTACAAATTAGCAAACGTTTTCCCTTTAGCTTGGAAGCACAAGTATTACCTTAGTACCAAGAAACTTTTTTTTCTAATGGTGTAAAACATGTAGCTTGCAAAGATAAGACAGAAAATGAAAAGATTTGTATTCCTACATTCCATGTCCTGAAGAACTCTTTAATAAAGAGTTAAAAAAATTATTTTACCAAAATTTGGGGGGTGGGGAAGGGTGGTTAAAAGCTTTATATAAAATTACACAGGAACAAAGTCTATAGAGCTCAATTTTCCTGCACATAGCAATATACCAAAGGAGAGGAGGGAATAAAAAAAAAAGTCAACTTAGAAATAGCAGTTTTTTTCCCCACTTTATTTCTTATATATCTGTACAAGGTTGTAAAAATTAAACCAAAGAAAAAAAAAGACTACATAACACCATCACTGCAACAGAGCTTTGCAAAAAAGCACTACTTACAAAAACCTCAAAATCTATTTCTCAGCATCTCTAGAAAAAAAAATACAATTTGTCAGCTAATATCACTTGTTATTCCTGCTTCTCTTTCTTAGTCAGAATGTAGGCCTGGAAGCAACAGGGGGACAGTTTGAATTTGTACTAGCGCACACATCATATATTCTATCATGGAAAAACAAGACATTGTGACATTACTCTTGTTAATTTGTACATAATTAGTTTTGACCAACTTCTTTAAAAGGCTTAGTTTTCTGTGACACTTATGTTTACCCAAATTTCTATTTAAAACAGATCTAGTTAAGAACATTGATTATTCTAACCAAAAAGACTCAGTTGTCACCTAATGACATTCTGAATTAATATTAGGTAAAAAAAATTAAATCTGTTATTCTTGAACTCACTGACACTCTGTAAAATCTTCCTGTTTTCTTTCTATTAATAGCATGAAAAGGGGGATTTTTTTTTTCAACATGGTGAGTCAGAATAGCTTGGCCTCTAACAGCACAACACACAAAATTAAATTTTAGATTAAAAAATATTTTTAATTTTAATATTTTTAATTTAAATTTGATGTAGTTTAAATTTAAATTACAATGTAAGCAGCTTACATTGTGTTACAAACAAGTAACACATCTAAAGTACTATGAATAAGTATAGAATTTGCAAGCCCATCTTTGAAAAACATTTTTTTCCAGGAGTTGCTATGTAATTTAAATCTGTATGAGTAATACTTGTTTAATTTATTGTATTTCGTTTCACTGGTAAAATTAATGCAGCTGTAATAGCTCTGAAAAGCTGTTTGGAAATATCACATTATAAAGAGCTTCGGTAATCTGGGTCATTCCTTTGTGGGTGAACATTATTAAGGGTTTTACAGTATCTCTTCAGGACTCTCCCTCATTGCAAAATAACAAAAGCAGTAGCTTTAACTAACTTTCCCTCCAGCTTCTCTGACAGGAAGTCTCAGAGATCACAAGTCAGGTTACAAAGCCAAATTTGTTTTTTGTATATTCACGTCAAATACTGGCTAACTGAAATATTTTTGCAGCTTCAAATTAGAAAAACCCCAACAATATTTTTGAAAAATCCTTTGTTGATATGTGCACCACTAAATGCCCAGGAGCTAACTGATTATCCTTCACACAAAAGGAGTCTATTTCAGCTCCCTGTTATGACTGAATCAGGGTAAGGACTCTAAAATTTATATTTCTTGCACAGAATTAAACAACTACAGTTAACTGAACTAGCAAGAAAATAGTTGAGCTTCCGGAATTAACACTAAGTACATACTGTATCTGCCAAGAAAAGCAGAAAGGAATCACGCTATGTTGCGATCATCGTAACTACAGTGAGTTTGTATCTGGTCAGAGTGAGTTGATAATTGCTTTTGCTTATTGACCCACACATATCCAAAAAAACAACCTGCAAGAAACTGTTAGAAACTGTTAGGATGTTTTTTTATTGTTCAGAGTGAGAGGAGGGGTTGTTTTTTTTCCTGGAATACAGACTTCTCCATGTTTAGAAGGAAAGCTTTCATTCCTCTGCCTCTGTGGGTCAAATATATAAACATGAAGACAAACTTTGAACAAACCACCAAGAAATGAAAATATCTAAACATTTCTTAGTGATATGATTTAGTGGAGGACTTGTCAGAGTTAGGTCAGAGGTTGGACTAGGTGATCTTGGAGGTGTGTTCCAACCTAGAAGATTCTGTGATTCTATGAATGAAATACAAGTTGAAGCATGTGGCTAGGTCAGACAAGTCCATGGAACCTAATTAAAATTTAGAGCCACTGAAAAAGAAGTTAATGAGCAAATCTTACATGTATTTATATTCAGAAGTCAGTAATCAGCTTCAAATTTAGTGTAATGCCTTCATAAAATACCACCATCATGTGATGAAACCCAGATCTAGAGAAACAAGTCAGCTGATTTAATACTTCCCGAAATAAGGCTCCCATCATAACAAAACAGAAAACTGAGGAGAGGTATATATTTTTTGTTTTAAATAATCAAAGCACCAATTCAATTCTGACACACTCCAGTTTCTTCAACAACAGAGTGGTGCAAGTCAGTAATACAAGGTTGTTTATAAGTATTCAAGTACTTTTTGCACATCAAATACAGGAACCGAACCAAACCAACTCAGGAAAAAAAGGGTTTTCCAAAACCCCCTCAAGTAATCAAATGCACAGCCACAGCCAACTGGAGTCTTGCACATGACAGGAGACTCCTAACTCACTCAATTAAAGAGTTTAAGCTGTGACCAGGACAACAGCTCATCTGACATGATGTGGGTTAGTAAGAAAGATTACAGTGTCAAACCTTTCACCACAGGTAAGAGTACAGAGAGGTAAAGCTTTGGTTATGCCATTCGAAAAGAAGCAATAAGACAAACTTTCAACAAACCACCAAGAAACAAAAAAAGAGAACCCCCTACCCAATGACATCGACCACGTCGTGGAGCTCAGAGTCAAGCAGCAAGACAAAGGAAATGGGCTCCCACAGTCTATCGCTGGCTATGATCCTCACCTGCTGCAGGCCATGTTTATCCAATGTGTACCTCAACAGCTTGGAAAAAAAAAGAAAAAAATAGGAGAGCAAAGAACAGAGAAGGGACAAAAAATGTTTTTCAAATTGTCAGAAGTTTATCTTGGGAAAGGCAGCATCTCCTTCAGCACTGTTTGAACACACTTCAGAAAAACCATATCATGTTTCAATTCTTGTTGTTGCAACTGGGACAAAAACTGTTACACCAAACAAAATGTAACAAACAGATTGTCAAGCACAGACTGCCTTCAAAGGAGGACATATCTTCTTCTGCCATGCCAAACCCCAAAGTACATGACAAAAGGCAAAGTGAAAAACATTTGGTTCTTGTTTTCTCACACACAAAACTGCAGATGAAGTTAGAGGCAGACAAAGCCTAGCACATTTCATGCAAGATAATCTACTTGCTGAACAGCCACTTCAACATTACAATGCGGAGGGTTAAGCTATGAGAACCACGTACAGCAGGGCAAGGACATCTGAATGTTAACTGTCAAAGGTTTGCGAAAGCAAAGCAGACGTTTAATTAAAAAGAGCTGATTCCGCCTTTCCTCCCTTCTAATCCACTGTTTCAGTTTAACGGTGAAGCAACACAGAAGTGAGATCAGCTCTTCCTAAATACAACCAGCAGAAGTAACAAGAAAAACCCCGGACAAACACACCTTATTACTCAACTGCATTTTATTCTCAAGCTTTATAATTGCAAACAACGTATACTTCCCAAGACACATTTTAAGGCCTTGAAAATTACCGAAAAAAAATCTAAAATGTCACATAAGGCCAAGGCTAACATAACAACATAGTTTCTTGAAATCCAGAAGGCCCCTAAACAGCATTTGCTGTGCTTACAATTCAAGTAACTTCAAATGCCTGACGGCTCTCAAACTTGATATATTGTATATATTGTAGAAACATACACAGGAGCATCTCTAACAGTTCTACCTTCTAGTTCTACCTACAGGAAACAGTGCTGCACGACTTCGCATAGATGAGAAAGTGAAATAGCTTACCTGCAGTCTGAAATACTAAGACTTCCTGCCCCTTAAGGGTCTTAAGAACACTGTCTGAACTCAATGGTACTGTTTTATTTACACTGTATTTTCCTGTTATATCTTGTATTAGAGTAAGGCAATATTTGGTTTGCAGACTTAACATACATATCAAGGCTAAAGCATTTTGTAATTAGGGCATGTTCCTGATAACTAAAGAAAGGCAGTTGGAATCCTGGCTTCAAGAAGGAGGATCTGAGAAACTACTGGCCTATCGAACTATCCTCACCAGGAATGTTAGAGAGGATCACCCTGAAAGCCATTTCCAAGCACATGAAAGACAAGGAGATGACTGGGAACAGCAGCACGATTTACCGAGGGCAAATGATACCTGATAAACCTGACTGCTTTCTGTGACAAGACGACTGACTACTTGTGTGACCAAGGTAAAATCAGTGGATGTCATTACGGCTTGTCTTTAAGGCCTTCCACCAAACTGGGCAGTCCAACCAGGCAATGATTACTCATGATGTCCCCATAGGCTAATATAGGGCCAGTACTGTTTGATAACTTTATAACAACAAAAAAAAATCAGGAAGTTCACAGGCTATATGTTGAAAAGAAGGGTTGCTATTTATGAGGATCTAAACAGACTGGGAGAAAAAAAAAAAAAAAAAACAACAAAACAGGCTGATGGGAACCTTGTCAAGCTCAACAAATGCAAACAAGAAGTCCTGCACCTTTGACAGAATAATCCCCTGCAACAGTACAGGCTGTCAACTAATGGAAGATTGGAAGATTCAAGTATGTATAAAAACTTAAAAGTAAGGGGGAAAAGAGATAAAAGGTAAAAGAACAGGAGCACAGTCAAAAACGTAGAATAAGCTTCCCAAGCGAGTTGTGAAGATATTCAAACTCAACTAGGAAACCTCGGCGCTATGAGGCTAGGGAGGCATTCCATCTAATTACAGATAACATCCCAGTTATACCACATAAAAAAAAGATTCTTTTACAAGTAAAGGTTCTTTTATAAGTAAAATCTACAGTATGAAATCAAGACAATTTATGTCCCAATTATGTCTTGGGATCAGTTACATAAAAACAGAATGAAGAAAGTTTCCAGCTTGTGCTTTGAACTATGTAAAACAAAAATCCTATTTAAAACAGATGGCAAAATCACTATGGTCTAAAAATCACAAAATAAATCCTAAAGACAGCATTTTCTACAATTAATATTTATTCTCCTGTCAGCTTCACATACTCTTGGACAAGTTAGTTTCTCTCTCTTACAGAAAATGTCTTCTACCTCGGAGAAAGCGAATGACGGTGAACTGAACTTGTTCTTCTTAATGGACTGAAAAAGCCTTCCTTGATGGCTTTTTTGATTAACAATTCCCTTAAAGCTGTGACTACATTAACTGTAACAATCAACAAAACAATCATCCCTTACATAAAAGCCATAGTCTTTACAAAGTAACTCCTGTCACCCCTCCTCATTCCTTTTAAGTAATTAAATAATCATAGCAAATCTTATTTTTTAAATGCCACTAGGAGAGAGGAAAAAATTGAAACGGCAGCCATTGTTTATGCTATTTGATCACTGTATTAGAAAACACTCATGATACATCAACACAAAATATTTTTTCTCTCAGCAAACAAATTGACCTGAAGGGAGATTATTTATTTAAAAACACACAACAATTGCTGCCCATTAATAATGACTTACAAGTCAAAGATAACTAAAACCAATGAGAATTATAGAGAAACATTTTACTTTGTTGACTTCTAAATAAAGATCAGAAAAAAATATTTGTAATATATTCAAGTCTAATCGCATACCATCATACAAGCCTTTCAGAAAGAACTTGCCAAAAAGCCAGGCTTTGTTAAACTCTGAAAACCAAATCCATATCTAACACAGAAGAGGTGGCACCAAGCTGTAAGTAATACATTCTGGGAGAAAGTAGTAGGAAGATATACTACACACAGAAAAAGAAATGATCAAAATAACATAGGAAGACAGTAGCAAAGGCAGTATTCCAAACAAAATAAGGAAGCATAACACAATTTAAGACTTAAGCTAACTAAATTACATTTTTCTTCTATTTCCAAGCACTTTATGAGTACCAAGTACATCGTTTGACTTAGGAACAGATAAAGGCTTTTTTCCTTCATCTAAAGTAACACCTATTTTTCAATGGCAGCTGCTGCACCTCATTTATATGAAATAATGGCAAGCAGTATGTTCACTAAGACTACTCCCTCCACCAATGAAATTGAGACACACTGAACAATAACAGCTTGGTAGCCTAGTCCCCTATCTTTTAAACGCAGCAAGATTCCAAGCCAGCAGAGAGCTTGAATATGAAAGGGAAAAAAAAAGAAAAAAAACACAGAACCCTATCATTAATATACCTTAGCACTGTTCCCTGCTTAAAATACCATTTGTAAACTATCAGATTAAAAACTACCTGATGAAAAGAAAGGAAAAGAACACGAAAGGAAAAACATAGAAAGGTAAACATCAAATAATTTTTATGGGTGGATACCAAAGCAATCATTCCAATAATTTCTAAATAAACAATGTAACTTTAATTCCAGATTGCCATTTCAAAATAGAACCGTAAGACAAAGTCACTGAGAGGGTTATACTTGCAAAGAGATTACAGAACAACATACAGGGAAAGGAGTTCAGAGAAAAGAGTGCAATACTACTGAGGAAAACAGATTGAATAGCAGATTTTGCAAGCAACTAGACAGATATCTACAAGACATACAGATATAGTGTACTTTTACCAAGTTTATGAACTTAAAGGACAGATGTGTAACTACTATTATCTTTTTCTAGGTCAGCAAGAACTGCTTGATAGTTGGTGCTTTAAAGTCAGTACTGGCTGAAAAACATGGTGTTCTTGTTTTGTTGCCTCTGTATATAGCTGAATTTCATAATAGATAGCACTACTGAAAATATTCCTCTAACTCTTCATTCTGGTCAGTGGGGGTGGGGAAGTTGAGGAAAAAACATGTATCATGTTCAAGAAAAATCTCAACAAGTAAGAATGCTCATCTTAAAGAGTATTTCATTAGCATAGAAATCATAACTAGAACACTTCCTAAAGCAATATGAACTTGCTGAGGTTCAAGTCTTGGTTATTCTAGGCAAGTCAGAAATAAACACATACAATTTTTATTTTCTTTTTTTTTGAGTCAAGTTAGCTATACAACACTGGCATTATAATTGCTACTTCTCTGGAAGCTACTTCCAGCATTTATAAGCTCAGCACATACAAAAACTGTTTCTTTATGAAATCCCTGCTTAATTGTCTTGCTGTAACCTTTGCACCATATATCAGTTTAAATAACTTTGAGTATATCACAGATCCTTACATATAAATGAGGACAAACAGTACGTTATGGACCACAAGCACATTCTTACCACAGTAAGGCTAGTAACAGAGGTAAGAAAGACAAAACACAAGTGAACAATTTATACATGAAGAGTTGATTACCACTGTAAACATGCTATAGCTTTGAAAAAATCTAATAGTGTTGAAAAATCAGAGCAAGCAAGAAAAGCAAGGTAGAAAGCGTATCAGGGAGCAGGTGTGCAAACAAATAATCAAGTTGCCATTTGTAAGAACTGCAACAGTGCGCACTACTACCTGCTGAAATTGGGATAGGTGGTATAGATAAAAAAAAAAAACAACTTTGGATGTTATCAGATGAAACCAATAAGTAGTCTACTACCCTTTCAATGTGATCAGAAAAATCATAAGCAAAGAATCTTTGTGTTGCAGGGAATGCTGCAACAGTAAGAAGTAACATGGCGAAAGTTCAAGCTCATCTGAAATTAAAATGGATTCCAGACCAAGAGTTTTTCATTATCTTAAAGTTTTTTCTGACTTTGAAGATGCACCTGGAGATTAGCTAGCAGTCTTCTGTCATTTGCTAGTGACAAGGCAAGAAGCCTAAGATCTAGCTCCTAACTCAATTTTTGAAACAAATGATGGAAGAATTACAAGATCAACTTAG